ATACTTACAAAAGGCCAACTCCGGCGATTTTGTTAGCTCAATGAATCTCAATGAAATTCGCTGGGTACGTTTCTTTGCACATTTCCGCCATTTATGCCAAGTTACAGTTTTGAAAGATGCATTGATTGTTTGCAAATGAATTTTAAAGATTGCCTCAAAAAGCTCACCCCGCATGCCAGAATTATTGGCAACACTGTCTGTGTGACGTCATGTTTAACACATGCCCAGCCGGCGCAGGGCGTAAAAAATGTGGCGGAAATGACATCATGGCGCCCATATTCACTAGGCACAATGGCGGCGTTGTTATGGTTACGTGTTGCGCAGTGGAGCTGGTCTAGCAGTGAGTGGCCGCGGCTGGCGGCGGAATGTGTGCCTCCCCAGGTCTCGTCCTGAGCCGTGGCGGACAATATCTGTGCTCTGCGCCGCGTTATTGGTTACGCAGTGTTCTCCTGGCAGTTACATTACTCTTAGCAACGTTTACTAATCCCTTTGTCCATCACGGGGTTTTAACAGTGCGTAGAACAAGTGCATATCCATGTGTCGTGCGGTGGATGACGCGGATGAAGCAGTTTGTGTTCAGCGAAATTGCGAAATTGTCATTCAGCGAAGCTGAATGACGACGAACGCCTTGCAGGTCAGTGACGGTTGAGCAGTGCTCCTGCTTGTGACAACGGACGACGCTGTTGAGCCCAGCAAGACGCCAAGAGGACCATGTGCACATACGTAGTTTCGTGTTGTGTGTGTACAGTGGCAACTTGCATGTGCGTATTAAAACACATGTTCCGCTTGGTACACTCTCCACCAGCATTGCATGTAATCTCAACGTAACAGCAACCGCGTTCAACTGTCACTCGCAGCGTGCTCAAAGTCACCACGGTCGCAGAATGCTGACGCCGGTGAGTTTCACGCGGAACACGGACACAGTGGCCGTACGCTGCGTCGGCCGCGTGGCGGAATGCAACCGTAGAAGGCGCACGGCCGATCGTGTTGTCTGTACAGTTGCTGAATTAATGACGTGAAAGCACTCGCCGTTGTCAGTGCATCTAGCGCGCGTTCTCTCGTAGTTGCTTCGTTGTCGGCGAGCTGTTACTCCCTGTTAATACTCGGACGAAGCGATTTCGCTGAAGGTGTCCCGCTGGCTCAGAGTGATGAGCCCAGTTCCATTAGTTTCGGATCGTCACGACACACGCGCTGCGCAGCCCACGTGCTTTCCGTGCCGGAGAGGGAGTCGCGCCTTCTGCTTCGCATTCATATGTAAACAAGAGAGGAGAACTTGCCTAGTCAATATGGCCGACTTCCGGCTTCATCGCGGCTTCACAACGATTGACGTCAGGGCCTCTCCTTACCTTTCCTTCCTCCGTGTGTTTTAGCATGTCAACGGAAGTGACGCAGCCGAAGCCATTGCTACTTTCGCCACCACAGCGTTCATTGAGGTGGCCACAAAGCGATGGCGGCGGTTTTCGCAAGGGTATAGCACGGGAAAGCTTTCTTCCTTCCTCTGTGGTGTTTGGCCGGCGCTTCGCTGGTCTGGTTTTCACAGTTTTCATACTCCGCGCCACCGAGACCAGTATATGACCTCATAGTACGTCATACGCAGACAGGGCACCCGTTTTGATTTCGGTTTCGGTATTGCACCTTTTTGCTTATTAAAATCATTTCCGAATTTCCTGAGCATTTCAGCTATTCGGCTCGTGACAAGAGTGCCCCAGGAGCAAAGAAACACCATTATCTTGACATGGTCAAAAATCGCCGGAGTTGGCCTTTAAAATCATAACCACTTGTAAAAAAAAACGTCACAGCGTCAAGCGCTGCTATGCTTAAGCGTGAAGAAAAGAGGCAACAGAGAAGGAAAAGACGGGCACTTGAATGAGCGTAAATACATAATAATGCACACTCTATAGCAATACGCGATATTATAATTGCACCAAGTTGCCCAATCTGCAGTACTTGATCCCTTATAAAATCGCCTGAGACGACTGTAAAGCGAGAGTCGTCTCATTTTTATGATAAGTAGGTTATATTGATCCCTTTGCCCCTTCTAGGGACCAACTTAGCACATATACCGCAGAATGGGACCTATCAACCAAGCGACGACGTTATGTGATAACGTCATAGCGACGCCACAAATTTTGACGGGGGTTCAGTATATATATATGTGACGCTAGATGCGGGAGACATGGCCTGGCTCATACCCCATGTTTATTTGTTTCTTACTTCTTCCTCCTCTACTTCTCCTAACCATTCCTGCCTTCTTACGTCACAGGATTCCACCTTCCCCTGAAAGAAGTCGCGTCAGACGAACAGAAACAAAAATTGAACATGTATGGCTTAGAAGTGAACACTGTTAAAAAGGGAAGATCGTTCCATGTCCCAGAAAGTTTTCGTTAACACACTTAAGCTTCACAGCAGAGTGCAGCAGTCCGGTAAGTGCTGGAGTTCTGGTGGACGAGGCTGACTGTTGCGTACTGGAAAACACAAGTACACCCTGAACGTGGAAACTGCAGATGACGAAAGTGCTTGTATACTTGCAAAGAATGAACGTGGTGTGAAGGCTTTGGAGCACCAGCAGCATGGTTTGCGTAGGCGTCGTATCCTTTGCCTTGATTGGTACACATGCAGCGCTACCAGTCTGCGTGTTTGTAGTCCAAGACTGATGAGCGGATTTCTGTGTCCTTCCGGAATACTGGGTGTGCTTTTGCGCCTTCTTCGTCGTTTTGTGCCCTGTTGTCTCAACAGTTTTGATTGTAGACTGGGTCTTGATCTCTCCTGAAGAAAACTTGTGCGATGTTCCTTTTTGCGAAAACATCTTGAATCAGAAGACTTGTTTGTCTTAAGCGAAACATATTGAATTTGTCGTCGCTTCACATGACTAGCTTGTAGACGCCTTCGTTTAACCCTTGAGTGATCATCCGCTGATGTTTGTGTTTGTCGTTGTCCTTGTTCGTATAGCCCTTGGAATCTCTGTTGTTCTTGGACTTGCTGGCATTGATGATGTTGCTGCGAAGAAAGCTGAGGTGGCAGCCCTTTTTGACCATGACACTGACTTTCTGGGCAACTGATTGTGGTGTCGAGCGGGCAGGTAGTAGTCTCTAGGCTGTTGTGCGGCATTTCGGGTAATGAAGGTAATGCTTCAGAGTTGATAGATACATCATCAGGGGCTTCTTCTTCGCTGTTTTTGTTGGCGTTGCTGATGTTGCTGTGGAACGCGTTGCGGTGGGAGCCATTCTTGAACATCAGGCCGGTTTTCTTGACAACTTGATCTGGTGTTTAGTCGGCAGCTGGTAGTTTGTGGGCTGTTGTAATTCTGTTCGGGCAGTGAAGATAATGCTTCAGGGTTAATAGACAGCTCTTTAGAAGCTTCTTCTACACTGCTCACTACGAAGAGCTCTTGCGTCTGACAGCGTGCGACGTTCGATGCGTTCGAGCCTTCTGTTTTGTTTAAACTCCCGGGAGTGTGTGCACCGGACGGTGATACATGAAACCGTACGGAAGAAGAATGGCTTGGCAGAGTATTTTTCCGATTAACCAGGTCATCTGCCATGAATACTGCGTCCTTATAATGTAAGTGGTGAGCGTTAGGAGCGCTTGAAGAACCGCGTGACGAAAACCCAGGTGGTGGACCACATATGCGAGACGAAGAGTGCAGGGCATCAGGTGGTTCAGCGACGTCTCGTGTCGTATGTTGGTGCCACGACTTTGGAAATGCCGGCTTTCGTGCACAAGGGAGCTGCGCTCGATGGTTGAGTTGTTCCCGAAATACGCACGGCCGCCTGTGAGTGAACTGATGTTTTATTTTGTGTTTTGGCAGTGGTCGATTCATTCTGGGCGTTCGAATGCTTGGGGACTGCTTAAGGAATTGACGATAGTGTGCGGTTGTCTCTAGATGGTTGGCAATGAGTAGGTCTTGGTCATAGTCGTTAAAACGGGTAATCATCTCCTCTTTGATTTTTCGCCATGACTCACCGTTCTCGAATATGTGGGTGAGGTAAAATTTGAATGCCTCACCTGAGATGTAGTCAGTAAAGTTGATGATCATCTCCCGTTCCGACCAGGATGCAGCGGCGGCGTGGAGCTCGAAAAGGTTGAACCAGTCCTGTACGGGTCCGTCGTCCGCTGATCCGGTGTACTTGGGGATTCCAAGGTCGTCTGATCATGCTGTCATGATGCTGGCCTTGGTGTAGAGTTGGGATGTACTTTTGTGGTCCACGTTCGGTCACTGCGTCTTGCTGAGACGTTCGAAGATGGTGGCTGGTTGATGAAGTGGCCGCCAGGTCTTCATCCTGCCGACTCGTGTGACGCTAGATGCGGGAGACGTGGCCTGGCTCATACCCCATGTTTATTTGTTTCTCACTTCTTCCTCCTCTACTTCTCCTAACCATCCCTGCCTTCTTACGTCACATACATATATATATAAGTGTGTACCTAAGGGCTCGTTTTTCCGTGTTTTGACACAATATTAATGAGATCTAACAGACAATAATGCCAAGGAATATACAGAGGAAGTTATTAGAACCAATGGAATGTAAATAAGAATAAAGAAAAGTGGGTGAAAAAATACCAGCCGTGAGCAAGAATCGAACCTAGGACCTTCGAATACGCGTTCGATTATATATATATATCTATATATATATATATATATAGATATTATATATATATATATATATATATATATATATATATATTATATATATATATATATATATATATATATATATATATATATATATATATATATATATATATATATTATATAAGGCTCTCGCCTGAATACGTAGCCCATATGTAGCAGAAATGGCGCGCAAACTTAGAACTGTTTAATATCGCAAGTAGCTAAGTGGGGAAAGATGAAAGGAAAGCCACCCCTTTTTCTCCGCAACCATGAATTTGTTGCACAAGCACTGCAGTGAAATTGAGTGATATCAGGCTTTCATTATGTTACGTTGTCATACAGCTATAGCTCTTGGTCAAACCTAGTATAACGCCACACACATTCGCTTGGGTTCGCAGCGGTGAATAACCGTGTCAAGGAGATCATAATGGAGGCCATCGCCCACTGGGAGGAGAGAACTTGCCTTATCTTCGAGAAGAGGTCCCGGGCCAACCTCTGGTACATCAAATTCCGTACCGACAACGATGGGTGAGTTTGCACTAATTTATAGCAGTCGCAAATGCCACTGAACTGCATATTACATTGTTATTATTGCAATACAATGGCCAATACAAACTAAGTAAAGTACAGTGACTTTCTGAATAAACAATAAAATATATAAAGAAGTAGTACAGTAAAAATTTTACCTTATAATAGGGATCAAACCCCACGCTGGTGCGTGACACTTTGATCAGTTGATTGGGTTGCCGTGGTATGGTGTTCCCTTCCAGATTCCTGATGGGTTATGCAGGACAATTATAGGTCTGACCATGGCGGCTCAAATGATTTGTTTGTTTAGATGTACCTAACGAAGGCTATAGGTGGAGATCAGTCGCGTATGGAAGTAGCAGCTATCGAGGCGAAATCCCCTTTTCTTTCGCATTATTTAGCTAGTACTCCACGTACTTGTACGGACGGCTCGTTAGCAGTTTTCACGTCTCTTGTAGTGATTACTCTTTCGCACAATTCCAAGCCTACGTCAAGCTGTGCCCTAATTGGCTTACATATAATATACAATGATGTTCGCAACAACTGTTCTGGTTGACGACTCTGCCCAGCCCCGCCGCGGTGGTCTAGTGGCTAAGGTACTCGGCTGCTGACCCGCAGGTCGCGGGTTCTATTCCCGGCTGCGGCGGCTGCATTTCCGATGGAGGCGGAAATGTTGTAGGCCCGTGTACTCAGATTTGGGTGCACGTTAAAGAACCCCAGGTGGTCAAAATTTCCGGAGTCCTCCACTACGGCGTCTCTCATAATCAAATGGTGGTTTTGGGACGTTAAACCCCACAAATCAATCAAATCAACGACTCTGCCCAGTAAGAAATCGCGCTGATAGACTATTTTGCAGATCATTCTGAGTGCCGCCATGTTATACTGGTAACCTCCGTGTTTTGTTTTTTTATCTTTAACGACCAAACGAACAGTGTTACTGTGGATACGCATGGAAACAAATGGGTTGGTGAATACGATATTTCGCGGCCTTATAATTTGTGTCTATATATATATATATATATATATATATATATATATATATATATATATATATATATATATATATATATATATATATATATATATATATATATATATATATATATATTAAAATAGAGGTGTTGTACGTCGAGAAAGGTTCAGACGCAGCTTGGCAAAACGTCCTTTATCAGGCAGGTCTGGCTAAAGGCGAGCGGCGTGCGCGAGGTACTACTGCAGCCACCGATCATCCTCGTCTTCTTCATTACCAGCAGAGCGTCCGCTGTCCGCTATTCAGATTCATTACAATTACTCCCCGCGAAATAAGGAGCCATCCTGGCGACCTATGGACAAGTAAACACGGGAGGGTCGTAGCAGGGCTTAAGTCTCGAGACGTGGACAATTTCCTGGCCACGACGACGTTGGTCAGAAGATGGTTCCAGTGGCTCGATGAGGTAATTCACCGGTGACGTTTTTTGTAGCACACGATATGGGACGTGATACTTGGGGACCAACTTGGTAGAAAGGCCAGGTGTAGCAGAAGGGACATGCAGCCAGACCAGTGAACCTGGATCGTAGGAAGTAGTGTTATTTGATGCGTCATGGTGGTGCTTTTGGCGTCCTTGGTCTTGGGTTGTGAATGCTCTTGCCAGTTGGCGGCATTCCTCAGCGTATGTAGCGGCTTGAGACAAAGTCGTGGACTCTGAGGAGTCAGGTTTGTACGAAAGAATGGTGTCCATAGTGCAAGAAGGTTCGCGTCCGTAAAGGAGGAAAAAAGGAGAGAACCCAGTAGTGCTTTGAATGGCGGTATTATAAGCGAACGTGATAAACGGGAGCATTCGGTCCCAATTGGAGTGGTCTGACGAGATATACATAGACAGCATGTCACCAAGGGTGCGGTTGAAGCGCTCTGTCATTCCATTGGTCTGGGGATGATAGGCGCTTGTAGTGCGGTGAACGACGTGACACTCACGCAGCAATGCTGTGATGACGTCTGACAAGAATACGCGACCACGATCGCTCAGTAACTCCCGAGGTGCTCCATGACGTAATACGATGTTGTGAAGAACGAAAGTCGCAACGTCTTTTGCTGTAGACGAGGGAAGGGATGAAGTTTCGGCATACCGCGTGAGATGGTCGACGGCAACTATGATCCAGCGGTTACCGTCAGCAGTGTTGGGAAGGGGACCATAGATATCGATGCCGACGCGGTCGAATGGTCGGGATGGGCATGGTAAGGGTAGCAAGGTACCGCTGGCATGACAAGGGGGAGTTTTTCGTCTCTGGCACGTCGAGCAGGCCCGAACGTATTGTCGTATAAAACGGTACATGCCACGCCAGTAATATCGGAGACGTATGCGAGAATAAGTCTTCAGGAAACCTGCGTGGCCACATTGGGGGTCGTCATGAAACGTGGAACAAATTTCGGATCGCAGATGACGTGGAATCACGAGTAGCCACTGACGTCCACCGGGTGCGTAGTTGCGTCGGTACAGCACGTCGTCGCGAGTGGTGAAGTGCTCGACTTGCCGACGCAACGTGCGAGAAGGGGGGGAAGCCGTCCGCCCAGCCAGGATGTCTAGAATCGAAGCAACCCAAGGGTCCTTGCGTTGCTCAGATGGCATGTCGGCGATGGTGATGGCAGTGACATCACAGGTTAGACTTTCGCAGCAGTCCGGGTCAGGGGGTAGAGGCGAACGGGATAGGGCGTCTGCGTCCGAATGTTTCCGGCCGGAGCGATAGACCACGCGAATATTATATTCTTGGAGGCGTAATGCCCATCGGGCGAGGCGACCGCTTGGATCCTTCAGTGACGACAACCAGCAGAGGGCGTGGTGGTCAGTCACGACGTCAAAAGGGCGCCCGTACACGTAAGGTAGAAATTTCTCTATCGCCCAAATAATGGCGAGGCATTCCTTTTCAGTGACAGAATAATTGGTTTCGGCTTTGCTAAGAGTTCGGATTGCGTAGGCAACCACGTACTCTTGGAAGCCGTCTTTCTTCTGTGCAAGAATAGCGCCTAGCCCGACACCACTAGCGTCGGTGTGGATCTCTGTGGGTGCCGATGGGTCGTAGTGTCGCAGAATAGGCGGCGACGTGAGGAGGCGGCGCAGTTCATTGAAAGAGTCGTCACAGGTGGCAGACCAGGCTGAAAGGTCTCTAGAGCCGGCGAGGAGCTTGGTCAAAGGAGCGATGATCGTCGCGAAATAGCAGACGAAGCGCCGGAAGTAAGAGCAAAGGCCTATGAAGCTTCGGAGCTCTTTCATGGTGGTCGGTTTGGGAAACGCTGAAACGGCTGTAAGTTTGGCAGGGTCAGGAAGAATGCCGTCTTTTGAAACCACGTGGCCAAGGATCGTAAGCTTTCGAGCGGCGAAATTGCACTTCTTCAGATTCAGTTGCAGCCCCGCGGCAGAAATACACGCGAGGACTTTCTCGAGGCGGGTTAAATGGGTTGCGAAATCAGTTGAAAAGACGACAATATCATCTACATAACAAAGGCAAACGTTCCATTTGAGGCCTCGAAGGATAGAGTCCATCATCCGCTCGAAAGTAGCTGACGCGTTGCAGAGGCACTGTGAATTCGTAAAGCCCGTCGGGCGTGATGAAAGCAGTTTTTTTCACTATATATATATATATATATATAATATATATATATATATATTATATATATATATATATATATATATATGAAAACTTCGGTGCCCAGATGTCTTACAGATAATATCCTACAGCGGCAAACGGCACCCGCATATTTTCAGTGCAACAAAGAACGCGATAACGAGTACAATGATAATTAAAAAAAAAACCTGTGTGTGCCTCCTTTTCAAACTCGGCCGTTCGGTATGCCTGTGGTAAATCTGTCTCGCAAAGCAGCAAGGGGCCGTTCAGCGTCGCCCTGTATTGGCATAGTTTGCTCACATTAGTTAAGAAACCGTCCTCGCCTACAGTGTCGCAATGAAGTGGGTCGATTTCGGAAGCAGTAAGTTACGCGTATACCTGGATCACGTGCTCCGAGTCTGCATTCGTACAGCCATATTTCTTGGCATGGAACTTATTCACGATGGCTGAAAACATACCTGCCACGTTGTCACAGAACGAGCGCTAAAATAGGCGCGCCGCAAATTCTTGCGGTAACGCGCGGAAAAAAACGCCGCGAAGTCAAAAGAAACAAAAAAAGGGAAAGAAAAAGAAAAACAACGGCCAAGGCTCCCCGGGCGCGCGCTCTCCCCCGCAGAAGCGTGGCTTTCCTCGACGAACCTCCTCATCCCACAACGGCGGCCGAGCAAGCCCCGCGATTTTTCTAGAACGAAGGAGGCGTGGTCACGCCGAGATGAGTCATCCGACGCGGAGGGCAGTCGAACCGTTTCGCGCCTCTCCCCAGCCTTCGTTGCGCATCGCGCCGACGAAACGAGGAGAACTTCTGGAAGGTGGCGCGGAACGTATTTAATCGAGCAGCCGAGACGAGAAATCAGGAGAAGACGGAAAGTTAGCGCCGGAGCGCGTAGGAATTCCGCCGTGTAGTCGGCGAAGGTTCTGCCCGTAGTGACAGAACAGGAGGAGACGGAAGTGAGCGCCAGAGTGCGTAGAGATTCCGCCGTGTAGTCGGCAAAGTTTTGGTCCGTAGGGACGGCTCGAGCTACAGGCAAGAGCGTGGGTTTACCGCTATCGAGCGAAGACGCGGGCAACAGCTGCGTGTGTGAAGCCGACGGATTTCCGGCAAAGAAGCTTGAAGCTTGGAGAGTGGCCATTTGAGGACGCGAGGTTTCCTGGAAGAGAAACTTCGAGAGCTGCGGAACGACAACAACGCTGGACTTTGAGTGAGTGATTCTCGGAAGAGTATCATTCAGACTTTGTCCCAAGGACTTTGGACTGAACAGGTTTTCTAACTCTTTAGTCCTTAAGTGTCTTGGTTGTTAAATGCATGCGACTGCATTGTAGTGCGTATTGTTGTCTGTGTCCGTTGTTTCAAGTGTGGCTGATTGTATTGTGTAGTACGTTGATTGATTGGTTTGATTGGTGACATATTGTATGCAACTATTGTGGAGTGTGCATTTTTGTGTATTATTTTCGATCTGCCAATATTGAGAATATAATTTGTTTGTTTATCAACTCTCGGCTCTGACTTGTTCTTTGGGCCACAGCCGGCGTCCGCTGGCGCGCCAAAAAGGACCACTTCTAAATTGTCCACGCTTTCGTGGTGCGGTTCGGGGGGCCGATACTTCGGCTCTTGGAATTAGCCCGGCGATCGCCTCCCTAATTAACGGGACCGGTGTGACAATTAATCTGGCGTCCGCGAATCAGGACCTTTTGGTGCACAGTGTGTCCAAAGTAGTGAGAAAGAGCCTCGAGTTGTTGATAGTGCTATCGGAACGATCTTGTGTTTTGTTCAGTGTTCTCGTTAACGAGTGCAGGGGAGTGCTCCGATAGACTGATCTAGGCAGATACTTTTTGCACGCGGCAAGGTTTATTTGCGAGACACCATGGATCTCGAAAAGTTAGTTGCTCTTGGTGAAAAGATGGGTCTTTCTGGCGCCGAACTACGGAAGTGGGTCACCCAGAAGGAAAAAGAAGAAAAAGAGAGAGCCAAAGAAGAAAAAGCAGCCGAGCTGGAAAAAGAGAGGTTGGCGGTCGAAAGAGCCAAAGCGGAAAAAGAAGCTGAGGTGGAGAGAGAGAGGTTGGCGGCAGAGAGGGCGAAAGAAGAAAGAGAGCAGCAATTGAAGTTGGAGCTGGAGAGAGAGAAGTTGGCAGCCGAAAGGGCGAGAGAAGAAAGAGAAGCGAGGGAGCGACAGCTGAAAGAAGAAAGAGAGGAAAGGGAGCGGCAGCGGCAAGCACGAGATGGAACTCGAGCGGCTCCGTTTGCAACAGCGAAGTGAAACTCCCGTCCAAGCTAGAGTTTGAAAGCAGCGAACGGGAAGATCACGGCTTCCGCTTGAACCCAAGCAAGCTGCTCGTAGCGTTTGATGAAAGGAAGGACGACCTAGACGCGTACCTCCACAGATTTGAGACGATTGCGAGGAGCCAGAATTGGCCGGAACAGCAATGGGCAACTGCTTTGAGTACTTGCTTGAGTGGTGAAGCGCTCAGTGTGTACGGTAGGCTGACGCCGACCGATGCAGCCAACTACGCAAAGGTGAAAGCGGCTTTGTTGAAGCGATTTAGATTCACTGTGGAAGGATTCCGGGACAGATTTCGGACAGGAAAACCAGCTGATGGGGAGACGGCTACGCAGTATGCCGCCCGACTTTGCCATTATTCGACAGATGGATTGAACTTTCAGGACAGCACAGGAGTACGATGAGCTTAGAGAGCTGCTAATTAGAGAACAATTTCTTACTAGTTGCCACCCAAGCCTGTCACTGTACTTAAAAAGAGAGGAAGGCTGACTCACTGAAAACATGCTTGAATGGCTGATCAATTCTTGGAAGCGCAAGGTGGCACTAATTTGGCCAAGGTCAAGAAGGAGTGTCCCGATGATTCGAAGAAATTGGCTCCCGAAGAAAAGAAGCGTGCACCAGAGAGCATTCCGCGATGTTTTCTGTGCAACCGAGTGGGTCATCGCGCGAAAAACTGTCGAACGATCTTTACGAGCCCTACGGTTGTAAAATGTTTCAAGTGTGGACAGACTGGGCACAAAGCAGACGCATGTCGAAACGGAGCGAGTCAAACTCACCAGGTATCCTGTGTGCAAGCGGCACCGAAATCTGATAAAAATGCCGTCACCGACGGATTCGTAGAATTGAAAAATGGGGAGAAAATTCCTATTGTTGGTGCTGTAATGTCAAAACAGCCAACCGGTGTTACGAAAGGAATGCCAGCGCTGCCTGGAAAAGTTGCGGGCAAAAAGATTACGGTGTTGAGAGATACCGGCAGTTCCACTGTTATCGTGAGGAGAAATTTGGTACGGGAAAGTGAGTTGACAGGCAGAACGAAGCCGGTTTGCCTAATTGACCGTACGGTTCGGATGCTTCCCGAAGCAGAAATTGAGGTTGAAACCCCGTACTTCAGCGGGAAGGTTACTGCTTTATGCATGACGACCCCCCTGTATGACCTTGTCATCGGAAACATCGACGGGGCGCGAGGGCCAAGTGATCCAGAGTGTTTGGGAGAAGACCCGAAGATAGAGCCCTCGCCAACACAGCGGCCGCGAGACACAGTGGAGGAGCATCCCGTGACGGATCTCGCTAGAGCCCGAGGCGAAGCCGCGGCGCAAGAGACAGCGAAGGAGAAGACGATCGTGTCGAATGAGTTCACGGGCCGAGCAACTGGTCTTACGTCGGCACGACCTCAACCGACCGACAGTGTAAAGGAGACGGAGTTGGCCAGCCGGGCAAAATGTAGAGGCATTATCAAGCGGGTAAATAAACAGACAGGACCCGTCGAATGTAATGACGCGTTAACGGTGTCGGAAGAGACAACGATGGCGGAGACGACGCCTCAGATATCGTCGTTGGAAAGGGCTCGCCGAAAAAGAACGTGGAAGCACAAGAAGAGATCGAGCGAGCACCGCAAAAAGGGGCGCAAGCGCTGCTCGAAGTACACAGGATAAGGGCTGAGGTCAAAGCAGAATGTGTTGGGTAGTGCTGAGTGCCATAGGTTGTGTTAATGTTGTGTTATCCTGTGTCACAAGTGTCGAAGTGTTGTGCTGTGATGTGATGTATAGTATTGGACCATTGTTGTATTGAGAGAACTTTGTACATTTGTATTATTGGGAATGTGTGGTGGAGTGTTGTACTCATGTGCTTGTGGTTGTGTTTTCACGTGTTGTGTAATTGAATTACAATGTACAATTGTATTAAGTGATCTATTGTGAATGTGAAGTGTCATGAGCGACTGATGGTGTTACAGTCTGTGAGAGTGTGTGGTGACTTTTCGCGCTCGTTTGTGTGGTTTTGAATATTATGAGATAATATTCTTAAAGTGGGGGGCAGTGTCACAGAACGAGCGCTAAAAATAGGCGCGCCGCAAATTCTTGCGGTAACGCGCGGAAAAAACGCCGCGAAGTCAAAAGAAACAAAAAAAGGGAAAGAAAAAGAAAACAAACGGCCAAGGCTCCCCGGGCGCGCGCTCTCCCCGCAGAAGCGTGGCTTCCTCGACGAACCTCCTCATCCCACAACGGCGGCCGAGCAAGCCCGCGATTTTTCTAGAACGAAGGAGGCGTGGTCACGCCGAGATGAGTCATCCGACGCGGAGGGCAGTCGAACCGTTTCGCGCCTCTCCCCAGCCTTCGTTGCGCATCGCGCCGACGAAACGAGGAGAACTTTCTGGAAGGTGGCGCGGAACGTATTTAATCGAGCAGCCGAGACGAGAAATCAGGAGAAGACGGAAAGTTAGCGCCGGAGCGCGTAGGAATTCCGCCGTGTAGTCGGCGAAGGTTCTGCCCGTAGTGACAGAACAGGAGGAGACGGAAGTGAGCGCCAGAGTGCGTAGAGATTCCGCCGTGTAGTCGGCAAAGTTTTGGTCCGTAGGGACGGCTCGAGCTACAGGCAAGAGCGTGGGTTTACCGCTATCGAGCGAAGACGCGGGCAACAGCTGCGTGTGTGAAGCCGACGGATTTCCGGCAAAGAAGCTTGAAGCTTGGAGAGTGGCCATTTGAGGACGCGAGGTTTCCTGGAAGAGAAACTTCGAGAGCTGCGGAACGACAACAACGCTGGACTTTGAGTGAGTGATTCTCGGAAGAGTATCATTCAGACTTTTGTCCCAAGGACTTTGGACTGAACAGGTTTTCTAACTCTTTAGTCCTTAAGTGTCTTGGTTGTTAAATGCATGCGACTGCATTGTAGTGCGTATTGTTGTCTGTGTCCGTTGTTTCAAGTGTGGCTGATTGTATTGTGTAGTACTTGATTGATTGGTTTGATTGGTGACATATTGTATGCAACTATTGTGGAGTGTGCATTTTTGTGTATTATTTTCGATCTGCCAATATTGAGAATATAATTTGTTTGTTTATCAACTCTCGGCTCTGACTTGTTCTTTGGGCCACAGCCGGCGTCCGCTGGCGCGCCAAAAAGGACCACTTCTAAATTGTCCACGCTTTCGTGGTGCGGTTCGGGGGGCCGATACTTCGGCTCTTGGAATTAGCCCGGCGATCGCCTCCCTAATTAACGGGACCGGTGTGACACACGTACGATCACTTCTATAAGTCCATTGAATTACATCCCAGAGCGATACGGCCTCACAGTGAATTCTCCAATACATGCTGTCTCGGTCTGAATTTGTTTCTTCTTCTTGTACACAACTGTGACGCTCTTTTCTACTCGGTCGCTTAATTTCTAGTTTCATGCACCTTTTTTTTACCCCGATAAGTATGAACAAGCCAGGTACTCTTGCAATAAAGGGTTACTTTTAGCCATGGTATAAGTTGTATATATACATCATAACTATATTCATGTGCACGTCACGATCCCGTCATTGTAAAATATTTTTTTAAATAATCAACGAATACTCTCCCTTACACGACACAGGTGCTGGTCGTTGGTCGGCATGGAGCCGCTCGGGCCGCAGGACCTCAACATTGGGCCCGGATGCGAGCACGTGAGCATTTTTCTAATAACTACTTGATAACTATAGTGCCAACACTGAAGGAAGTTGCGCAGCGCCGTAGCACTACCGCGTATTTTCTAGAACTATCCGCAAAACCACTCTCTGAACATTTCTTTGCCCACTTTTGTTCAGGCCGACACAAGTTCACGAGCATAGAGGCCACTTTATATGTCACTTTGAGTCCGCCCCGGCGCAGTCACTTTCAGCCTGCTCGCCCGTGTTGTTTGAGCACCCACTGTACGAGCTCACGCCTGACGAGCTTTCCCAGCGCGTTGCGTGGAATCTCGTCGACGAACGTGACGCCAGCCTTCCAAGCGGAATGTCTTCGGTGCGTTTTCTGGAAATCGAGGAGGAAAAAAGGGAAAGAGAGAAAGCGAGAAGGCAGGAGAGTTAAACACAGTCAGAACAACTAATCTAACGAAAGTGCTGCAGTTCGACTGAGAAATATTGCTTATCCAAGCAGTCGCGAGAACGACTCGAGACTGGGTCACGAGATTTATGCATGTAATTAAAATACATATCGTAACACTAAGAATTGCTGATTTACTTATCAAAAGATCACTGAGGGATGATAATTAGGCATGTTTAAAGGGATACTAAGAGAAAAACAATTTTTTTTTTTCGTATTAGTAAAGTACTCTTGCACGATACACCAGAATCAACTCACTCGCACGGGAAGGTCACTTAGTAAACGAGAAAACGCGATGAAAGAAAGCGAGGGTGATCACTCCACTTAATCGAACCTAACCTAGTCTAATGTTCCCGCACCGACCGTCGTGGTGTCCGAGACTTTAAAGGCGTCCACTGAAACCCGCGTCCTCCAAAAATCTATAAAAAGGAAGTTCATTGTCCTGCGAGAGGCTCACAGACCCAACATGCGGAGTTTCATCAAGTTTCGACGGGCCACTGTCGCCAAAATACGAAAAATAGCACTTTGAAATGCGTGTCATCTCGCGCGGAGATTTGGCGCGAGATTTAAAAATGAAACATTTACCTTGATTTTCTTCTCTATTATTATGCCTATGGTGGTGAAATAAACGACACTAATGTCTTCAGAGTACCGCTTATCAATCTAAACTGATTCATTGTTTAACTATTTTAAGTGGCTATTTTCAGCAATACACTAATTGCTGCTCTTTTTTTCTCGGCTGAGGAACGAACGCCGCGATGGGTGAGACATAACTGTTCTTCTTTTGTTTTAAATGTTGGTACGATTTTCAGTTCTACTGCACGTTACTGAGGCGGTAGTTTGAATGCGCATGTACTCAAAAGCTAATTGCACTGAAAGACGAAATCTGCGTTTTTGTTTCTTGACATTAGTTACATTTCCTTTGCTGATCTCCAAAGAAAAATAAATCGCACCACGTTTTCGTGGATGTTCTAAGTCCATCTTTCCTTAGCATCAACTGTGCAACTTCTATCAGAAAATTTCTCTAATCTAAGCAACGCGCTCCGATCGCAACGCGTCTTTCCCCGTTTCCTTAAATGCTCGCGCCAAATGCTTTCAGGGATGAGACGAACCTTCTACGTATCGCGTGAAGTGTCCGGCTTTCAGAGCATCGGCTCCTGGCTTTCGGACAATCACGGCATGCGCCACGTGACCGGCTTCGTCGTGCGGAAGTCCGACGACGGCGCAGTCGTGCACTTCCGGGCACTTCTGCAGCACACTCTCCACCAGCACTGGCGAGACCTTCACCCCGCGGCAGCAAAAGAAGTCGCCCATTCGTTGCACCAGATAGAGCCAACCGTCCTCGTCGTAGTAGCACTGGTCGCCTACGCGAGGATTAGGTTAGGTTAGATTACACCAGATAGAGCCAACCGTCCTCATTGTAGTAGCACCGGTCGCCTAAGCAAGGATTAGCTTAGATTAGATTACACCAGATAGAGACAACCGTCCTCATCGTAGTAGCACTGGTCGCCTACGCGAGAATTAGGTTAGGTTAGATTACACCAGATAGAGACAACCGTCCTCATCGTAGTAGCACTGGTCGCCTAAGCAAGGATTAGGTTAAATTAGATTACACCAGATAGAGGCAACCGTCCTCGTCGTAATAGCACTGGTCGCCTACACGTGGATTAGGTTCGGTTGGATTTGTGAGATTGCTTGAATAGGCACGCACCGTATACTACAGCCGTTTCATAAGAAGACTTTGCTAAACCTGAAAAATAAATAAGGCACATAACAAACTTACGAGATGCTTATGTATTCGCTAATCACAACTGAAAGGCTTGAAAGCCTTAGTTTTCTTAGCAGTCGATGCAATGATTCTACGTCCCCCTGCTCCCCCGAACGCTTTCTGCTGCTAACGTGGTTTTGAAGGGACTATAAATAGAAAATAATAGAAGAAAGAAATACTCGAGGGATTATTTCCCCATTTCAAAGAATATTACCAAAATCATTAGGTCGTAGGTTCGGCCGCTGCCAGCAGCAAGTTTCGTGCACTTCCCTTTTTTTCCCAACCACGTCACAGTTACTACCATACATTTAAAACAGTAAAACTAACCTTCCTTGGCCTAATTACGTTACGGTTTTAATTAAGGTTCTGTCAAACAAAAGAGAAAAGGTGATTTTTTTTTAAATATATGGTAAATTACTGTTTCACAACTCCTAAATCGCCATGCTTGCAGCGAGAAGATGCACATGGTAAGCGAGAAACCGAGCAAAAATAGAACGCGGGTGGCGACGCCAGATTGAAATTCGATCCCGCACCAAACTGCGTCACTCTATAGCGATGAGGTCATTCATTTTGACGGCACATACTACGGTCCCAGGTTGTTCCTAGGTGGTTCCTAATCTGAAAAAAAAAATGAAAAATGAATTGTCCCCCCGATGGAGATACAATCTTATAATTTCTAGTTTCAGAAAATTTCGCTGCCGCAATGGAAAAAAATACAATGTGAAATCCGTGACGTCATGTGCAAAGAGTTCAGCACGAAATTCGAGAACGACACATTGGCTTTGATTTCCTGCGCTATTAATAACCACATGATGGCGAAATTAAAGACACTGGAGTTCTCAAAGCGCGCTTAATGAATCGATTAACCATTTCAATTTAGTAGCGTTAAAGGGACACTAAGGGACACTAAGCTTAGAATGATGCTAACAGCTCGTTTTACAGAAATTCCATTGACGCGAAAGAATGAATTGTGGCGATATGGGCACTTCGTAAACCGTGCCTACAGTCGACAGTATAGATTAAAACGACCCACGACACTCGCACAGATGTTCAATCCTTTCTTTGCGGCACCAGTGAGGTGTCCAACGAGAAGCGATGGCAGGTGACAGATCGAGAAGCCGATGTACACAGGGCCCGGTTACTCTATCGCGTTCTACCTTGAAGACCAACCTCAAGCGTCCTTGAACCTTTTGTGCTGTCTCTATAGTATCGGAGGCGTTGCCCAGTTTTTGCTCCACCTCCTCAATCAGCCCACCTTTGATCAAGCGATGGCGAGGTGTGATGACGTCATGGTGACGTAACAGTTTTTAGATACTGCCACGTCAGGACGACTTCACAAGATAAAGTCATTGCACGACGTGTTTTTTTTTTATCACTCCTGTTGACACCAACGGTCAATTTTTGTGTTTTAAAAATGTCGCCCATAAACGTTTTTTTCTTCAAGACTTTGTTGACGCGCACGCAACCTACGATGGACGACAAACTTTACTAACATATTTCATACGTACTAGCTCCGACGGCGAGCTTCGCTGTGTGGCTGAGCTCACGGTATATTCTTACAACATAGAAACACAACTAGCAGTGCACGCATACCTGTGCTGTACCAGCCTTGGCTGTCGGTGGCGGGCTCGTGCAGCCTACCCCAGTACCCTAGCATCAGATCTGGACCTCGAACAACAAGCTCGCCTTGTTCGCACGGTCCTAGAGGCTTGCCCGTCTCGACATCTCTCACCTGTGGGAGAAACAGCGACGTAAACGTTTGAGCTCTTAGATGCGAAGTAGCTTACTGGCGAAGCTCAATCGGGCGTGCGTAGCCACCGTTACTACGCATGCGCGACAGCTGGCCCAAGCACGGCCAGAATGCGCTCACGCGCTATATAGTGCGTTCTGGCCTGCTTAGGGGGCTGGGTAAGACGCCTCTCCCCTTTACACTCTCAGCAATCACGTGATGCCGTCGGGAAACGAGATTCTGCAGACGCGCGATGAACCAACGCGTTCGTATCACAGCCTCCTAGATTTCCCTTGCCTGCCGGATCATCGGCGGCCGCTTGGGGAGCGGCCGTCATCCGGAACTATGGTGGTGGCGTCACTTAAGTAGGAGGTGTCTTCAAAAAAAGTTTTTACGTTTTTGGAGCTTATATGCAACAAAAATAACGTAGAAATGTTTTAAAGAGGCGTAAACGTACTTATAATTAACCCTACGTAAGTGACGCCGCCATAGATGACAAGTGTTTCACGCTCATTCAGCAGGCAACGACTTCAAAACAAGGCATAGCCTCCGAAATTAGCAAACGCCAAAATTGCTGATCTCAAAGGCCAAATACAAAGACTCTTATTCCTATACGTAGGTAGCGCCGCCATAGATGGCGGGCATTTCGCGCTCATCCGGCAGTCAAGGGAAATCTAGGGGTGTGTGGTTGTGTCCTAGTCAGACGCGCTGGCACGCGCTAGCGCGTTCGGCCCTGCGTAAGTGGCTGTGCACTGGCTGTGTAAAAGAGGTTGTGGCATTTCCCTATTACACTTTCTCGGCAATCACGTGAGTGAGTGAATGAGTGAGTGAATAAACGTTTCTTGGGTCGAGAAAAACGCGATCAAACGCGCACCTGTCTAATCCCGCGACGGGCCGGCGCGATCACGAGTACGCAACGAGATTGTGCAGACACTGCGCGATAAACCCACGTGCTTCCCGCTTGGCGTGGCTATGGTTCATCGCCACCATAGCGTGGCGATGAATCCGCGTGGCATGCTCCAACAAGAGTTCGGTACGAGTAACAGCAACAGAAAATACGGCGAATTCGTGGTGTGCTCCACTTGCAAGGACGCGTTAACATCGGGCTAGGTGGTCGTGGTGAACGGAACTTTAAGTCGACTCGTGTGCTGCTTCGCATGCTACTCGTGGTTCCCTTTAGTGGGAGATGATGCAATTTTTTTGCTTTCTTTATTCGGTATAGCGAATATCTACAAGAAAGGTGCGTAAAGTGACAAGAAAAACAATATTCAAAGTGTGGCGAAACGCAACGAAATCATTCTAATATATCGCAATGCGAAGAAAAAAAATTGAAAACTAAAATAATTTCGAATAAAATATGGCGTCACTGAATAAGGAGGATTGTGGTAGTAAGATACTCGTGTCGAAGAGGACATAGGGTGGAAGGCTAACTGCTACGCCCCAATTTCGAAGTAAGCGAATAAATAAAGTGTAAACGTAAAGCTTTGCTTCTTCGTTCAAGATATAGAATGCCATTGTAGCCTGCATTATTTCAGTGGGTGAGTTATACGATGCGATCACATAGATCTGAGGGCAAAAACGAGCCTACAAGCTTAATCACACGCCACTTTCTTCTTATATTATCCCGTTTTGAGCTAGAACTATGGGTAGCTTACCATTGCTTCGACGCCCATAGCCCAAGCGGCCAATCGACTTGAAACGGCATGGTGCGCCGTAAAGGCCCGCCGCGACGAACGGAATTTCCGACTGGCCGTACACTGCATTCGAGTACAGAATAAATATATCTTTGTCCTCATAATAACAATAACAATTATACGCCTAATTGTAGTGCCGGGAAACGGGTAAAACCTTTTGTATTGGTGCACCTGAAAAAAAAAAACGAAATGCACAACACACAGCAAGGACAACTACCCGCTGTAACACAACCACCCCCACGGGAAAAAACAAAAGGAAAATATCTAATAACAATAATTAGTGAGGTTTTACGTCCCAATACCACGACGTGATTACGAGGGGCGCCGTAGAGGACAGCTCCAGAAATTTCGACCTCTTCGGATTATTTAGCGTCCACCTAAATCTAAATGCAAGTGTTCTAGCACTTCGCCTACACCCAAGTGCGGCATCTGCGGTGGGGATTCGATTCCGCGACCTTCGGGGATCGGCATTCAAGTACCGTAACCGCTTAAACACTGCAGTAAAAAAATAAATAAAATAAAATAAAATGTAACTAAACGAACAGCGAGGATGTGGGCTTGAAAGTGAAAAATTATGCAGTGTGGGTATTATTGGTCGAGTTCTTGTATCACCGCAGAGCCAAGAACTGCCACAATTGTGAAAATTGAAAGAAAAAAAGTTTGATACGAGACATTAGGTCGTAAGTGAACTAAACTTTCAGGGGTGCTTTTCAGGTTCACTTTTTGGAAAACAACTCAGGCTGAAATTCGAAAAGAAAAGAACGTTTGTTAAAACGGGTAGGACATATATTCTATGGCGTGAACCTACAACTAATAGAAAATAAATTTAGGTAACTATTTAACTTTAAAATAAAGTGACTTCATTAGAGAGCCACCTTACAGACTGTAAATGAGAGAACACTGGACCAGTAGCAAAAACAAGGGTTTAATGGTGGCCAGTTGGCGAGCCATATTATGAAAAGTACATTTAGGACCCGTAAAAAAATTATATCGCATTTAAATGCGCTGAGATGAAGTGAGACTTGAATTCAGTTTTAGGCAGAATGTATAGTCCCTGCTGCAAATGGTGATGCACTGTCCATACATGTCTGAATTTCGTACAGCATAATACTAACGCCCTCGTTATTACATTCCAGGAAAGAAAACTAAGAATCACCTTGTTTTGTGAAGTATGCTAACTATTAATAATTAGCAAATATTTAAATATATAACTGTGGTACAGCCAGTCATGCTCGATTTTTTCACGATAAAAAGAAAACTTGAAGCTCGAAATGCACATGCCATTCGTTTCATGGTCGTGTCATTTTGAGCAAATAAAAAATAATAGTTATAAAGTGTGTCCCGGAATGCGGCACGTTGATAGACCTGTCGGACATCGTACGTAGTATACGTTTACGAAAGTGATCAACTGCAGTCACACGCAGCACAGTGGGGTTGAATCAAGAGACGTCGACTATGCAGAAGGTTCAACCGATCTTATGCGCAATGTTTCTTGCCCTTTCTTGCCACTAGTCTCAGGGAACTGGCAAAAGCAAGTCGCGTCCACATATGTAGACGCTGCGCCTCAAGAGGGATAGAGGGTTCTGTTAGTGTGTCCGTAAAATACAGCACTTACGCTGAATAAACGAATGGAGGTTTAGTTCCTGGAAGAACGCCCTGGCCAAGTCCTCGTTGATGCAAGAGGTCGCGCTCGTGACGTACTTCAAGCAGCTGAGGTCATAATTTTTCCGCTTCTCATTGTCCAGTATGCACCGTGCTGTGTGAGGTGTCGTGCTCAAGGCGGTGACCTGTTGAAAACAAGGAGCAAAGTAACATCTGTTTAAATAAGGTCATAGCATATATTTTGTTTGTAAGAGTCATTAGAAATGTTATTACACAGATTCCTGGCAATATGGAAACTTTCCGGCAGCGGAACTGCTGCTGTAGCTCAAGTACCGTATTTACAGGATTGCATTCCGAATTGTGGTAGATGGAAACTTCCTGGCAGCGGAACTGCTGCTGTAGCTCAAGTACCGTATTTACAGGATTGTAACCCGAATCGTGATAGCCCCCCCCCCCCCCAAAAAAAAAAAATCGCACGAATCAAAGAAAAAGGTATAAAAGCACGAGTGCCTTGCATAAACGAATTCATTTACGACGTCGCTGAAAAAGAAAACTAATAAAAACTTGAATTCTAGCTTGCAAAGGTAGCTTCACGGCAAAGCTTAGAAGAAACGCAACAAAAGCTACTTTTGCATCAATAAGCCAGGATCATTTTCAGAAAATATTTCGCGAATCATTGCTTGGACTTCGGCTTTTACTCGAGAGAATATGATACACGTTACAGCAATACCCGGAAGCCCAGCATAATGTCATAAATATCCCACAGGGTGCCTTATTTCCCGTTTGCTTTGGTTCCAGCTGTAAGTTGACTCGTTGTTCCCCCCCTCCCCCCGGACCCCCGGCCAACTTCAGATTTCAAATTAAAAGACGGGTCAAAACCTACAATCGTGTAAGTTCTGTACGTCGACCCTTAACGAAAAATGTCGCAATACTGTTAGCATAGTTAATCTCAAATAATGAATTTTAAACCACCGTGAACTAAATATCATGAAGGGGTATGCAGCGAATGACCTGAACTGTGTGAAGGTGCTAACATATCCTGTGAAAGTTGTTTGCGCATCATGGCACACGTGTCTCACGCAAAAGCCACATTTGGAGGATCACGGCTGTTCAGCGATAGGTGGCGTTGTGTTCGCGAGCGTAGATCACCGCCATCATCATCATAGGTTGTTAGAGCGGTAGCACCGGCGGTGACCCCTGGCGGAAGGCAAACCTTAACTGGTGGCGGCAGATGGCGGCAGAGAAAGGAGGTGAGCGAGTGGCTTTTCGGCTGGTGGCGTTTGGCGCGAACGGCTGTCCCTCGTGGTGTGTCCCCGGTGCGCGGCACCGCGGGCCGTCTGTCGGGGGCCCTTGTGGTGAGTGAGGCGTTGGCGACACCACCTTGTTTGTCATGTTGTTAAATATTGTGTAAGGATGTCTTAGCATATCGATCACAATTGATGTTATAACCACTCGGCAGACGATATCGTCCTTATAAATTAGTTGAATAAATGTCTCTTGGCTTGGTTTGTTCCGACCGCGTCTGCTGTATCCCTTTACTCCTAGAGCGTGGTGGTGCTCTCTCACAACGAGACCCTACAACTGCTTGTTTTAGGGTCTCGTTGCTGGTCAGAAACCTTGCATTTTGTAATATCTTGCAAGAGCACCACACACCTACCTAAATCATCTGTAAAAAAAACAAAAACATCTAAAACCACTTCGAAGTAAAGGTGACAAGCCTCAAGTATACGTACGGAGCTGGGCAGCTTTCTTTGTCTCTCTTAGGTCTTTTTTTTTCTTCCCCTTGTTCTTTTTTTTCTCCTTTTTACTTTTTTTTTCATTTCTGTTGATTTTCATCTGGCTCTCTCTATTTTCTTCCTATTTTTTTTCCTTTCCCCCGCTTTTTATGATGATGACCATGATGCCTCGACTATGACTCCTGTCCACTCAGAATGATTGGCCAAGAATGGAAGATATGAAGTGTAAGGACTTTTAAATGATACGTAATCCTAGCAGAAGGAGGATAAAGCACACATAAATACAGAAAGAGTGCAATGATTCCTTTTTGCCATTCTGACCAGACAGAATAACATATATCTTGAATTGAAATTGCAGTAATTTCAAACACGTGTGATATTGATGTTTAGAATTTGCTGAATAATACTATGATAACAAATACACAAATATGAATTTAGAGGCGCATTCATTTTGTGTCATGAAGATAACTGCAAACTGCATTATAGGCATTTCTGAGGCTGTAGCCCAAAACCGAAGCGCCAAAGAAGAGTATATTTTCAATGGTGAAGGGCAGCCCAAGGTTAGCAAATGGGATGACAAGGAGACGTTTTCTTAATAGTCTGTAACGGCGACATGACAAAATAATGCACTATTGATTCCAGATCTGTACAAAAGCTGCATAGGGGAGATATTTCCAGACCGGCCCTGGGTGAATATAGATTTAAAGGGGGCACACGACACCGTAATCTTGTTAGCATGACTTCCAGTTGTCTAGTATGACACCAGTCAAATTTCCATCGATATTTCAAATGTCTAAATTCAGCGCATGGTGTTACTGATTCTATGGCACCAGCCCTGAGTGAGAATTTTTGACATCTTATCACCGTTATACTGGCCAGCACCGGAAGCACAGAAAGTATTGGGCCATTCAATGCCATTCGTGTTAAAGAGTCAGTCATTTCATTTATTTCGAAGTCGCAATGTCCAGGTACCCATAGTAATTTTAAGAGATTTAGCTGTGAAGGAATTAGCGTAAAGAATGTTCTTAAGACGTCTGATTTAGATGAAGCTGCAGTGACGTACATACGGACAGGGAGTCTGTGATTATTTTAGCAGTGTGGGTGCCCAAAGTTAGTTTTCGTAGTGCTAGAACAATTGCCAAAGTTCTGCTTCAAAAATAGGTGTGAAGCCTGGAAGCATTACTGAAGACGACCAGTCAAGTAAAGGAGAATAAATACCTACTCCTGCCATTTCGTCTATTACTGAAGCATCAGCGGCTATTACATAATTTGTTTTCACGTGTGCCAGGTAATCCTGCAAGCGGCAATTTAGGACCCTGTGTGATTAAAATTTAGGCTTATAGAGAAAAATCTCATCATATTTTATGATTAAGATTTTGATTTGGCACATGTATATTGTCACGGGGTCGTGACGTGGCCGAAGACAGGAGACTTCGTGTTGGGATTTAACTGTTTATTTGGGCGAACCTGTGCCCGGTAAACGGAAAGTCCAAATACAGCAGCAGTCTCGCACAGATAGCAGTCTCGGACTGATAGCGGCGAACGGAGCGTCGGCCTTCGATCAACAACTGACAAGCGGTGAAGCGCGTCGGCATTTATACTCTTGCCGTCGAATGTTCTAGCGTTATCACTGGCGGCGGCGTAGGTTCCAGAACAATCTGTACCGTTCGCACAGTGGGCGTGATCTTATCGAAATGATCTACTACAGTCCGGAACTTTCTCGAAAACTGCAGGCGCGGTTCGCGCTGAGAATGGTGTGGTGTTTTGGGACGATAACAAAAACTTGGGAAGTGGAACGTGGCATCGCCTCCCTCTGAAAAAAAGGCATCGTCCCGATGCTTTAACTAAAGATGAAGGTACAATAATAATGCTAGAAAGTACAATGAATAAATTACGATACAACTATAATACAAAAAAAACACTGTTTCAGTTTGTTAACGCGCATGAAACGGCTTGAGGCGCGCGACATGTACGATTTCAGGTCGCGATCGGCGTCGTTGAGAGTTCGTGATGCCATCGGGGACAACCTCGTAATCAAATGGGCCGAGACGTCGAACCACCCTGTACGGTCCGAAGTGCCGTCGCAGAAGCTTTTCACTTAGTCCACGTCGCCGTATCGGCGTCCACACCCAAACACGTTCACCGGGCTGGTATTCCACGAAGCGTCGTCGAAGGTTGTAACGGTGGCTGTCGGTCGTCTGTTGATTCTTGATACGGAGACGCGCAAGTTGTCGGGCTTTTTCGGCGCGTTGAAGGTACTCGCTCATATCGAGGTTTTCTTCGTCGGTGACGTTGGGTAACATGGCATCGAGCGTCGTTGCCGGGCTCCTTCCGTAGACCAGTTTGTATGGAGATATCTGCGTCGTCTCCTGCACCGCCGTGTTGTATGCGAAGGTCACATACGGAAGAATGGCGTCCCACGTCTTGTGTTCGACATCGACGTACATTGACAGCATGTCGGCGATCGTCTTGTTAAGCTGCTCGGTGAGGCCGTTGGTCTGTGGATATGGTACGCTGTCGTCCTGCGGTGGTTTGTTTGACTGTATGCCAAGATCGCTTGAGTTCATTCGGCCGTGAATGCCGTTCCTCTGTCGGTGATAAGGACCTCCGGGGCGCCGTGACGTAGGACGATATTTTCGACGAAGAACTTAGCTACCTCGGATGCACTGCCTTTTGGCAGGGCTTTTGTCTCGGCGTAGCAGGTGAGGTAGTCGGTAGCTACCACGATCCACTTGTTTCCGAAAGTCGACGTCGGGAACGGCCCCAGTAGGTCCATACCAATCTGCTGGAAAGGTCGGCAAGGTGGATCAATTGGCTGCAGAAGTCCCGCTGGCCTTGTCGGCGGTGTCTTGCGTCGCTGACAGTCCCGGCATGTCCTCACATAACGAGTGACGTCGGTGGTAAGACGTGGTCAGTAGTACCTTTCTTGTATCCTCGCGAGCGTGCGAGAAACACCGAGGTGCCCTGCCGTCGGATCGACGTGCAGGGCCTGCAGAAGTTCTGGTCGCAGAGCTGAAGGCACCACAAGGAGGTACTTAGCTTGAAGCGGTGAAAAGTTTTTCTTTTGTAGAAGACCGTTTCGTAGAAAGAACGACGCAAGTGCGCGCTTGAATACCTTCGGTACTTCGGCGGTCCTGCCTTCGAGGTATTCTATTAGGGCCTTAAGTTCCGGGTCGGCCCGCTGTCGTTCAGCGAAGTCGTCGGTAGTTATCGTTCCCAAAAAGTACTCGTCATCCGGGTCGTCGGGTAGCGGTTGGTCGACAGGCGCACGAGAGAGACAGTCGGCGTCAGAGTGTTTTTTGCCGGACTTGTAAATGACAGTAATGTCATACTCTTGAAGTCTCAGGCTCCATCGTGCGAGGCGACCTGAAGGGTCCTTCAAAGTGGCTAGCCAACACAAGGCGTGGTGGTCGCTGACAACTTTGAAGGGCCTGCCGTAGAGGTAGGGG